GGATGGAGAGAGAAGCTAAAGTTGTAAAGAGGCATGATTTTCAAAGGGACACAATAAAATAGATATGATCATACAAGTGGAAAGGGATGGAACAGTTCTGGAGTTAGTTCAAGCGTAACCCACATGTTCTTCATGATGCTAACATGTTTAGGGCTCCAATCCCTCCAAGATCTTCGCTACTTTGTCCAAGATGAGTAAGTCACTTGACCAATATGAGTCTCAGTGTTGCTAACTATAAAAGGAGGCTATTACTACCTTAACAGGATAATTTAGAAAATTTTAAAAAATTATTTATATGTAGATGTGTATATAAATATATCTATGTATTTTTTCCCCAGAATAACGTGTGGTTCATAGGCTCCTGTAAATAGGTGTTCTTTTACATTTTCCTCTGCAGCATTGCTAAATGTTATAATATCTGGCATAGCAGGTATTTACTTTTCTAAAGGAGGCCTGGAGAGAAGGGCAAGACTGTGTGGCCGGTGCAACTGAGCCCAGGTTTTCAACAACGAGTCATTCAAATTCAAGTGTAGCTCAGTAAACTGGAAAGTCTGGAGGTTAGCATACCTGGACTTTGGTTCCCACTTAACCACTCACAAGAAAGAATTGTCCATCCCAGTGTGTTAACAGTGCTAAGACTGAGAAACTCTGCCCTGGAGGAAGCCAGCTGCCCTGTAAGAATTCCCTCTACCCTGAAATCATCATGTGGTGAAGGAAACTACTTGTACAGGCTATATGGAAAGAGAAAATGACTCAGCAGTTCCAACTGTTCCAGCCATACCAGCCCAGATGCCAGACATGAGTGATGGCGCCATCTTGGACATTCACTTCCAGCAGAAGCGATGTGAAAAAGAACCAAAGAACCCACAGACCTCCAGTTGAGCCAATCTAGACATCTCCAGCAGTTAGAGCCACCCCAGCTGAGGTCCCACTCACCAGGGAGCCACCCCACTGTGTGCTGCCCAAATTTATGACCAAAAAAAGTGTGAGACTAATAAAATGATTATTGTTTTATGTCACTTAGTTGTGGAGTGGTTTGTTCACAGCAACAGATAACCAAACAAACAGCAGCCTATCAAACTCATCGAAGAGATTAACTCTTAGAAACCATGAACTTGGATTCAGAAAGACTGGAACTAAGTAAACAGTACAGGTTAATTCAACCCTAACCTCAGTGATCCCATGTAAAACGGGGATATTAGTCTCTACCCCTTAAGATATTGAGAAAATGAAATAAGATCAGGAGTTTAAAAGTACTTAGGATATTAGCTGGCCTAGTACAGCTGTTCAGTAAATATGTTTATGGTAGAATTAATCTGGTTTGTTTCAAGAATATAGAGCAAAGATGACCTTTCTCCCAGACCTCCTTCAATATTGAGTAACTTAAATGGACAGGAAGTGGTTTGTCTCAGAAACTCTTTCCCCCCACCCAGCTCATGGGAAGATCTCTTGCAAATCATTGTCAAGCAGATCTAGGTAGAAACCTGGCTTCCAACCCTTACTAACTGCATAACCTTGAGTTACTTACTATCTCTAAGCCTCTCTTTCCTCCTGTGTAAAATAAGGATAATAATAATACATCTATCTCAGAGTGGTTCTGCGGATTAAACGAGATAAATGTACATAAAGCCCCTAGCACAGTTCCTAGCACAAACCAAACGCTCGATAATTTTGTTGTCTGCGGGCCCCTGTCCGCCTACCAACTTATCTGACGTCTCCGAATGTCAGGAGTGGCCGTAACTTAGAGACTAATTAAGGGCGTAACTTAGATACTAATTGGATCCTTCACAAGGTAATGAAATAAACTTTCTCTAACTTTGAATGATGCCAAAAGGACTGTGACTAGGAAAGAAAAGATGAATCCATTTCTCCTCCTCAGTAATAATCAAGGCATTCCTTGCAGTCCAGAGACATTTTCAGAAAGTCAAAGAGGAAAATCGTGTGACTTCCGCGGTCAGGACACGAGGAATCCTCTGCTATGTAAACACTCAGAGGGAAACCCAGTCTCTGTGGGCCCAGGCTGGTACCTTTCTCTGGGTAACCCACATCTGCTCTTTCATTTTTTCGACTTCATCCCTGTGTGTCTCGACCAACACAAAAGATTATTCTGCAAAGATATAAAGAAGAACCAATTTGAGTCCAGATTTTTTTCCAAGCCTAAGTAAAAGCATTGTAAAAAAGCTATTACACCACCTGTCAGCAAGAAATTAGGCTGGTCATTGAGATGCAAGCCCTGTTCCCCCTCTCCCAGCCTGTCGAGTTAATTACAACCCGTGACCATGGCCTTCTGTCCCAAAGACTGCTCAGATCTTCCCTCGGGACTCAGTTCTGTGAAACCTGGAAGTGAAAAGCTGCTACTCTAGGAAAATCAACCAAATGAAAGCCCCCAGTGGTGGGATTCTCCAATTCAAGAGGCCTACTTGGTGCCCAGGAAAGAAATGAGGAATATGTGCAGACAAATATGATTAGAATCCTCTGAGAATTGTGAAATGAGGAAGAAAATTCTAAGAGCTTTTATTTGAAAACTAAAGTCCCCTTCTGGGCTGTAGTATCTATGGTTTAAAATGAGCCTGAGAATCTGTTCTAAGGAAGACCGGTGGATTCAGTGATTATGCTGTAAAGGCAGGAGAATACCACACACACACACACATACACTCATACGCACACACTCATTAGCCACCCAAATAAAACATTTTGCTTTTTTTTCCAGGTATGACATCCATTTAGAGCCCTGTTAATTCTACACTCTCCCTAGCTTTACACAATCTGCAAGATTTTCAAAAAGGCTATGTTATGAAGGAAAGAAACAAAATAATTTTCAATATCTGGGCAACAAAGTATTTTCATATATATGATGAGTGGGGTCATGTAAACATCACAGCTTAAACTGCAAACCACCCCCACCCAGGCACTCCTACATCCCTTTCTTGGTATATTTTTCTAGATAGCACTTACGACTCTCTGACATATCATATTTTCCCAATATATGTGTTTCTTTTCTGTTTTGCCTAAACAGGATATAAGCTCCCTGAGGCAGTGTTTTTCCTGTTTGGGTTACTGCTGTCTCCACAGAGCCCAGAACAGTGCCTGGTCCATGCTAGGCATTTGTATAATCAGGATTCAATCAGGAAATCACACCAGTTATTTAAACAGAGAGAATTAAAATAAAAATTTGCTAACCAGCCATAACGTTAGTTAATTAAAAAGAGAATTCTAAAGTAACCATCTAGGGCTGGGTTGACCAAGATAAGAGGTTGAAATGATTAATTATTAAAACTTGGAGAAGAGGCTCCATGGGGCTGACACTTGGCACTCTGAGAAGGGGACACTGCTGGGCTGGGGCTGGTGTCTCTGAGCTCAGAGGAAGACCTCTTGGCCTCAGACACCCATCTGAGGAGGGGCACTGCCTGGCTGATGTCTTCAAGGTGGGGCATGACAAGGCTCAATCCAATTGTAAGCTGGACTCAGCTGCCGCTACCAGGGGGCGCTGCTGCCTCCAGGCTGATGCTCTCAGGAACCGGAAGCCATCGGAAGCTGTTGAAGCCCAGGGAGCCCATGGGAAGAAGTCAATCCCCTCTCCCAGCCTGTCCAGCCTTGCAGAGTTCCAGCCCCTGAATCTCAAGGCTAAGCGTAGAAGGGAGGTGTTTGTGCTTAGAGGTAATAACTTAATAAAAGTATCAGTAAAGATTTCTAGGAGAAAGAAATGAAAGCAGAGAAGAGGAGAAGAAAGAAGGAAGGAAAGACAGATGGACTGCTGGGCACAGATACAGCTGTGATCTGCTGAAGACACAGAACTCCATGGCATTAAAGCAAGAATAATAACAATACCTACCAATTAGTTTGCTCCTCCACTGTGCTAAGCTTTCACACTTACTCTCTTGTCCTGTGACAACTCCAAGATATAGGATTTATTATTCTCATTGTACAGATAAGAAAACTGAGGGCCAGAGAGGTTTAGGTACTTGCTCAAAGTCACAGAGCCAATAAAACACTGGAGTGGGGATTCCAATGCAGGTATATTTAGTATTAAAGCCTATAATCTTCCCTCTCTCCTACTTCATGCGCATTGGCTACTGTGTATTTGGAAAAAGAGCATTCCAAAACCTCAGGATACCTGGAGCAAGAGAGGACTTGGACTTTGCACAAGTGTGTGTGTGGGCATGTATGTGGGGGGGCATGTATGTGTGTATGTGTGTGTGTGTGTGTGTGTGTGTGTGTAAACTCCAATTTCAACTGTTAATGTGATCCTATCCATAACCATGAACCCCTGAGGCCTGAGGACACTAAGTTACTATTATTTCTAGCAAAGGCTTTATTTAGCTAATGAAAGCAAAAAATGAAGGATGGAAGAAAAGAAGAGGCAAAGCAAAAAAAAAAAAGGAAGAGAAAGGGGAGGAGGGAGTGAGAGGGAGGTGAAAAAGGAGGAGAGAGAAGGGGTGGAGAGGGAAGAGGAGGAGGGAGAGAAGTGGGGGGGAGAGTGGAGTGGAGAGAAACCCTCCTGGTTGTTTTTAAGTCTTCTGCATCAAGCCCCTCCCTGCACAAATAGCTGCCTGAGAGATTCCACCTTGCTTCCCTTCTCTCGACCAGAGCCAGAGCAGCTGTAATGAGGTTATTTCTTCCCCGCGAGAAGCTCTGTAGTAATAAGTCCCTTCGCTGGCTGCTCTTAGGCTAAGCTTCCTCACAAATATATGAAATGCCCAAACCCAGCCATCAGCACAGCTAATTGAAATGCCAACTTGAAGTTCACTGGATGAGTGCCGCTGGGGTCACAGTCATTACCAGCGATTAAATGTTATGCGAAGAGATCCATGAAGAGACACAGTTTAGCAATAGACTTTAACCCTACGCCCGCTGCGGGAAAAGAAAAAGAAAGACAAACGTGGGACCAGAAAGCTGGGCTGGAACCGGGGCAGAGTGTGGCTTGGGGGCCCAGCAGGGGAACAAGGAGGAACTCAGGGTAGCTGTCAGGAAGCTGACCGTAAGGACATAGACGGACTCACCTTCTTTACTAAAGGGCCTGTTGGTCAGGATGATATAGTAGACCCAGGGACCAGAACTGAGCACCCATCACAGCTTCACCTCTTTTTTCTCACCTGTAAAGCAAAGACAGTAATATGGCTATCTTGGAATTCTCACAAGGATTAAATAAACAAGCAGTTTAAATGCTGAGATGAATGCCTGGTAGACAGCAGTTACTCAACAAATAGGTATTTCTACCATGGGTCAACTGACAACAAATAACAAATCTTCATGGCAAATTTATGTATCCCGGAACTCTTAAGGGAGCGCAAAGACATTTACCACCCAGTTTCTGACCTTAAGAGTCTCCAGCTGAGATAAGCGAAGGGCCATTTGTTGAGCACATACTAAGACCCAGGGCCTGTGCTAAGTATTCTATGTAAATGAGAATCTTCAGTCCTCAGGAGCCCGGAAATAAACAGACTCAGCAACCACACAGCAAGGGAATGAAGAAGATGTATTTCAAAGCCTGGTATGTCAGTCTCCCAAGGCCATGTCCTTTTCCTACACACTTGGTCTCCTAAGATGAAAACATGTAAAAAGTACAAAAACAACAGGAGAGGAAACAGAGGCCCCAGGAAGCAAGGTGTTCCAAGGCAGCACGTGTTCCCCAGACAGAGGAGAGCCCCAGGCTTTTAGGAGGAAGGGTTGTCACTTTGGGTTGCTCATGCTTGTCTTCGTTTCCTGGGGCTGCCATAACAAATTCCCACAAACTCCCTGGCTTAAAAACAACGGAAACATTCTCTCACAGTTCTGAAGGCCAGAAGTCCTAAATCAAGGTGTCGGCAGGGCCATGCTCCCTCTGGAGGTTCTGGTGGCTCCCAGCAATCCTTGGCTTCATTAGCAGCATCATTCCAATCTCTGCCTCCTCCGTGGTCAAGGTGCCAACTTCTCTCCATCTGTCTTCATATGTCCCCATTTGTCTCTTATAAGAACACTTGTTATTGGATTTAGGGTCCATCCAGGTAATCCAGGATGATCTCATCTCGAGATCCTTAACTTAACCACATCTGCAAAGACCCTTTTTCCACATAAGGCCACATTCACAGGGTCTGGGTATTAGGAAATGGACATATCTTTTTGGGGACCACCATTCAACCCACTACAATGTCCTAACGTTCTACCATGTCTGAGACTTCCTTTCACCGATTATCCCTCTCTTCCTCTTGCCATCTTGATCTCTCATTAGCCCGCCCATATCCATGAGCAAGATTCTCTTTCTTAAAAATCCCCTCCTCCTGCTTCTCTTTGTTCTGTAAACACTAAACCTCTTGAAAGAGTTGTCTGTACCTGAAGTTCCAACTTCCTCACCACCTACCTTGACCTTAATCCCTTGGAATCCCATTTCCACCCTCATTCCTTGACTGCCAGTCCTCTCAAAGGTCACCAACAACTTTCCAGTTGTCTTTTCCCATGGAGTGTTTCCAGAAGGCCTCATCTCTCCCCATAGCCCCCTCCCTTCCTCAGGCCCAGCCACACCAGCCTTCTTGCTGACTTGAATGCTCACTTCTGTCTCCAGAATTTCTGTTCTTTCTGCCCAGAGTGCTCTCCCATCCTGTATTAGTCAGGGTTCTCCAGAGAAACAGAAGCAATATGATGTATGGCAGAGGGAGGGGAGGGTGCAATGTACATACGTGTGTATATTTGTGTGTGTGTGTGTTTTTAAAGAGATTTATTTTAAGGAATTAGCTCACACAATTATGGAGGCTGCCAAGTCCAAAATCTGCAGGGTGGGTCGGCAGGCTGGAGCCCCAGGAAGTGTTGATGCCACAGTTCAAGTCCAAAAGCCTGCCTCTTGCTCAGGAGTGGTCAGTCTCTGTTCTATTCGGGCCTTCAACTAAATGGATGAGACCCACCCACATTAGGCAGGACAATCTGCTTTACTCAAAGTCCACCAATTTAAATGTTAATCTCATCCAAAAACATCCTCACAGAAACATCCAGAATAATGCTTGACCGTGTATCTGGGCATTGTGGCCCGGCCAAGTTGACAGATAAAATTAACCCTCACACACCTCAACTCCAGTCACTTGCATAACTCACTCCTCAGCTTTCTGGTCTCAGGTCAAACATCACCATTTCAAAGGCCTTCTCTTACCCCCTGATCTAAGGTAGTCTCCCATTTTGTTTTCTTTGTAGTAAGTTTCACCGTCAAAAATTAGCATATTTATTTCTTTGCCTATTTATCTTCCAACAGAAGATAGCTCACCACCAGCTGCATTATGTGAGGGACTTTGCCTTGGCCACCCCAGTACACAAAGCAGCGCATGACACATATTAGGTACCGTGTTAGTGTGTTGGTTTGGATCCTCCAGGAAGCCAATGCAAAGATGGAGCTAGAAGTGTAAGGGATGTATTGCAGACGCCACTTGTGAAAGATAAAGGGGACGGGGAGCAAGGAGAGGTAAGACTGTAATACAGGTCTGACATCTGTGAAAGGAGAGCAGGGAGGAAGAACTGGGTGGGAAGAGTCTTAGACTACAGTGCTGTTCTAAGAAAGTTCCAGCCAGGCCAATAAGGAGTCCAGTAGGGGAGTCCCACACCCCACAGGAACAGACTGCCCTCTGCAATCATTGGCTGGGAACAGCCCAGGAGAAACGTACCCTTGATGCCAATGCATGGGCGGCCCAGAGGGGCTGTCAGTCATGTTCCCCTCACGAGGAGATCTGAGTGGAGCAGCTTCATGGCCACCCCAGGCGCTTAGCAACTGTTGGGCGACTGAATGGATGAACACCCTCAGTCTACGTGCTGCTCCTTCTCTCCTCAGCACAGGGCACTGCAGACTGCCACCTTTCTCCCTCACCGTTCTGGCACCTCTCCCTTGGCCCCTGCGTGCTTGCATCTTCCTGGTGTTCCTCCTATCCCTCTAGCCCTTTGATTTCCCTCGTCCCCATCTCATCCCTGAAATAAATGCATCCTCAGGACTTCGACCCTCTGCCGGGTTCCTTTCTTCTGACACACTGTCCTGTATGTCCCCGCCAGGCTTGGGATGAGAGATGCACATGAAGACATTTTGTTGTTAGTGCCGTCCAGTCGATTCTGACTCCTAGTGACCCTGTGTTCAGCAGAGCGGAACCCTGCCTGGTCTCTTTGCACCATCCTCTCACCTTCGGGTACTTTATCAGACAACGCTCCACTGGTATTCATGTGCTGTTCGTAGGGTTTTCATGGCCAATTGTTTGGGAAGTGGGTGGCCAAGTCCTTCTTCCTAGTCCATCTTAGTCTGGAAGTTTCTCTGAAACCTGTCCACCATGGGCAACCCTGCTTGTATTTGGAATACCAGTGGCATAGCTTTCAGCATTGCAGCAACAGGCAGCCACCAGTATGACAACCAACAGATGGTGGTGTGGTTCCCTGACTGGAAAACGACCCCAGGGCTGCAGCGGTGAGAGTGCTGCGTCTTAAACCCTAGACGGCAGAGGAAGGCGTTGGTCTGGGGGATCTGGGTAATGGCCGCAGTTTAGGGAGCACTCACTGTGTGCCAGGCCTTCCACTGCACCTTTTATTTGCAAATGTTGCTTCTTCACCCCTAAAGAGGTATTAGAATCCCATTTTAGAGATGAGGAAACTGAGGCTCAGAGGGGCTCCTTAGCCCAAGGCTACACAGCTTATAAATTGCCGGGATTCAAACTCAGGTCTACACGACTCCAGAGCCTGTGCTCTCACTACACTGAAGGGCCTTGAGGTCAGAAATCACGTTTTACAACTTCTGTCCTCATGCACCTAGCACAACTAGCTGAGCACACAGTGGGTGCTTGACGACTGCTGAGTGCTTTATAGCCTCCTACCCTGGTCCACACTTGCCTGCCCAGTCCCCGTCAGCCTGGAGGGGGCTAACAGCTCTGGCGGAGGGAACCTGGCTCTGGGCAGCCTATTCTGAATAATGAGCCTCCGGTGCTCTTGCTAATGACATTCTCCTCTCACTGCTTCAGGTTTTACTCACAGGAGTAATGAATTAATTAGTGAACGTGGGTGAGAAGCTCTTTGAAGCTGTGAAAAGCCCAGAGTACAAATGCTAAGAAAAGGGACCAAACAGACTAAATCAGAAAGCCTGGGAATATTGTATAGGTCACGGAGCCTGGGCCACCAGCTCTCTGAGGACAAGCACAGACAGAACAAAAGAAAAGATGAAGGGGCACCCAGTGGCGCTGTGAACACACCCAAACACCCAGAGCAGCCTTCAGAGGCTCCCTGTCACCCCCTGGAGTCTGGCCAGCAGTTCGCCTGGCTTGCTATTCCCATGGGTTAAGAGTGGATGCCTGGATGGCTGTGTTGGGGAGGAATCTGAGGCCACCTAGAGGCTCAGCAGGAAATAGTGCCACGCTATCAGTGTCGTGGATGTTCTGTTGGTTTAACTACTGCTACAAAATTGCTATATAGCCAACCACCCCAAAACCCAATGACTTACCACAACCATCATTTATTTTTATAATCTGTGGGTCAGCTGGGGCTCACCTGACTGATGAGGGGTTTGGCTGGGGCAGTTCAGCTCTGCCTTCTCTCACTCCCCTCATGGGATCAGCAACTGGTACAAGCATGTTCTCCTCATGGTGACGGCAGAGGCGCAAGAGGGCAAACCCACTCACCCGAGCCTCCATTTGTGTCTCAGCTGCTAATATACCATTAGCCAAAACAAGTCATAGGAATGAGATGAGCCTGGAGACAAGAAAGGGTCCCAACCCCAATGGGAGATCACTGTCAAGTTATTTAGAGAAGGAGCTGGATACAGAAAGGGGTGGATAATTTGGGGTCATTAGAATAGCCTACCATGGGGACAGAGAGGGGGTATGGTGGTGGCAAGCAAGCCAGGTATTTGGCACCAGTGACCAATGACCCAAACTCCCTATGCTGCTGTTTCTGCAAGGCAAGCAGCTAGAGCTGAGCAGTGCCTGCCCCTGTAAGTAGGGCAGGAACTCTCCGGTTCATCAGTCCCAATCAGGCCTGCATCCCTCTCTTCTGCTCTCCATCTGGCTCCTGAAGGTATTGGAGGTTGAAATCACCATCGTAAAATGCACTTTATCCTTAACATTATTTGTACGGTATATACACAACATTACTGAACCTGAGGAATCTG